AAGCACAAAAGATCTAAACAAACGTCATGAATGCAATTTTAAGGCTGCCAGCCTTAGCTGCCTTGACTGAATCTCTGAAATTGTGCATAAAAAATAAAGGCATCCGGATACAAAAGATTACGCTCAAATAAGAGTTTCTAGCCGCTTGCAGTTGATGGAGGGGTCAGCATAAGCTCTTTGTTTGGCCGACACACCTGAGTGGACGCCGAGCTTTATAGCATTTATCAAGTTCTTGTAAACAAGTCTTTGCATTCTGTCAGACAAACGGCAATGAGTGGCCGGCCGGCCGAACTGTCTGTGCAGGAGGAACGCGAGCTGATGCTCTCGAGCGTTTGGCCTTCAAGCGGTCTCGCTGGCAACTAGTATACCCTCTACGGTAAGCCTGGAGTACTGTCTGGGGTGCACTTGTCTGGGGTGCATATGCAGCGGCAAAGGATACTCAAGCTGCGACATTTGAGCCGGGCTGCAATTGTAACACATTCATAGCTTAAAGCCCAGACAAGCTACCATTTAATCTGGCCATGTGGCACATGTATCTGAATACACAATTTAGGCCTTAAAGTGCCTGTTGATGGCGACACACAAATTTCTATCCTTCAGCCTTGAGCTACACGTGTAAGTGGGCAAAAGTGGGGTGCCAATAGCAGCAGCAGCAGCAGCAATTGCCGCTTAGGACTGCAAAAATTGCCGCACATAAGTGAAAACTAGTAAAAATGAGAACTGGCGCGAACATAAATCAATATAAGTTTGTACCCAACCGAAGGGAACTGAGGGGCTGCGGGGTGGTCATGTGCCTGTAATACAGCAAAAGGCGGCATATTTCATGCGGCCAACCTTAGCTGGGGCCTAGCTTGTCATAACTCAGTTCACACACGGATACACACATCACCTCGAGCACCAGCCCACACTCGCATATCTACACGGTCCTTGCCTAACCGGATCTTTATTGGTAGTAGAAAATTCGATTTAAAAAACGAAAATTTCACAACAAATTACTTATGCATATATTTATCTCTTCACTTGTGGCATATAAATGCAGTTCGCATTTGAACGAACAAATTGAAAACAAGAGAGTTGCCAGCTTCCAGCTAGATAAATAAAATGTGCCAGATTAGGTATATTTACGAGAGTTCACACAGTCTGTAGCTCCTCCGGACACCGGGATATGCTCGTAAAACAGGATTTCAATATAGATTTTTATCGCATTTATGTAAATATGCTCACAGATGCCTTCTTCCGTCTGTGGCACTAACCATATAAATTGTTGGCTTTTTAAAGCCTTTGGCAAAATGCTTGACTACTGACTGGAAAACATATTTCTGGGTATTTTATGAAAACAGGAGCCTGGCTAGAGCCTAACTGACAGGTCTCGGATGCCCTGTCGTTAATCAACTTGTTTTTTCAAGCAGAACTCTACAAAATTTGTTAGTTTGAAGACCTCCTAGCAAAAACTCGTCAAAATTTTTCAGCAATTCATTATACACATATATATAATGGCAGAAAAAAATGTATCCCCAAAGTAAAAAAAAAGAGAATATTCAACAAGCCCAACTATGCAGCAATTTGTAAAATGAAACTTTAAGCTCGGATGCACTTTAAATTTTAGAATTATTATTGCAAAGCTTTTTTTTACTTTGCAGGCATTAGAGAAATTTTCGTTTAAATTGGCTAGGCTAAGCGTTTGTTTATTTTATTATTAATATCGCACAACGGGGGAATTTACATAAAAGCCTTATACGTAATCATTAAAGAGTTCAACTAACAAACAACAAAATGTTGTAAAGCTATTAAATTGCATTTTGGTTTTTCCATTTAAAAGCAATTGCCGGCGAAATGGCCGGCAAAAAAAACGCCAACAAAAAAAAACGCTAAAAGAAATTGCAATGTTACTTAAAAAATAATAATCGCTGTTGCAGGCTTTTAGGCGTGCGTTCTGCAATTTCCGCCGACTCACTTTATTTAATTCGGTCCACAAGTGGCGCTTAATTGTTGCAGCAAACTAGAGGCACCACCACCCCCCCCCCCCCCCCTACACACCACCTCAAAAACTTAGTCGGTGCAAATAAACTATATCCTTGTATAACTTAATTGTAAGTGCAGCTGAGCGCCGCATTCCCCGTGCTATTATTGGTCACAGTACGCTGCCTTGGATAATTTTAATTCTCTTGGATAGCAGATGATGCGCTCAATACAATGGCTTAGAAATGTTTGGCAGCTGCTTCCAGTTCCGGAAATAAACTGCTACAAAGAACATACAATTCATGCTTGCCTTCTTCGTCTAAAAGGAGTGCCTAGAAAATGTGTTAAATGGAATTGGTCTGAAAGGTCATGGGAGCGTATACAAAAGCCCGAACTAGGAATGAAAATCGACATTTGAATGGGTCAATGCGTCTATGGCTTATCGAAAATCTAGTCACTGAAAATTTTACCCTCATGCTCCACAGAATTCCGCCCAGCTGCCTTGCAAGAAAACAATTGTTGTAGCTAACAAATGCAATTGAGCTAATTGATTTAACAAACGCAGAAGGTAAACACTTGCAACAGTCGAGCATTGTTTGCCAAGGAGTTGCCACAAAGAGAAGTCGTTCCGTGAATTTATAATAGAATTAATGTCTTAAGCTTCTTCGTTATTCTCATTATTGCTTTCGAGTAAAGCGCTTAGCGCAGTCAATTTCAAATCGAACTCATGGCAGTACCGAAAATCAACACAAAAGACTCAGGGTATCGATATTTGTCACTGTTCAGATAACGAATGAGTACATTTTGTCGTCACAGAATTTTACTTATTTAATTGGAATTCCTATGTCCTCTTTGCATGTGATAGCCATAATTAATTGGCCCATTGACAGAAAGCCAATGTCGATGTTGATGCATAGGCATACCCCACCCCACCCCCTACCCCCTCGCTGTTAACAAAGGGCCTACAAGCATTTGAATTTTCACTAAATGAATTTCGCTTTGATGGCACAACAAAAGCGTACCAAAAGCGAAGAGCACTTTCCTGTGCTCCAGTATTTTATATACTACCATGTTTCGGCCATTGACATTGGCCAATTAGTGCAAATTATGTGCCACAAAACTACTTCTATTGTCTTTTAAGTACGAGGTAAACGAGGCAAGATTCTAACCAACAACAAAGACCCTCTATTAGAAAATTAGTTCGACTTAGAGCAGGGCTGTGAACCCCAAAATAATATGTAAATGCTTAAGTTCATAGTTCAAACTGACTTCCTGCCTCTGTCTGTTGCCTAGTGAACATGTTTTTGCTTACACATAATTTATTTAAGCCTTTGTTTTTTCTAATTGATTTATTAAAATAATAATTCACATTAAAATTATTATTTCCATATCTACTGGGAATAAAGAAAAGTTAGAGGCTGCGGATTAAATTTATTCTCAACCCGAATTTCGTATTTACTTTGAGTTTAAATCTTTCTCAAAACAAATTTTTCTTTGTCAAAAGGGTTAAATTTTTTGAACAACTGGTTCGGGCTCGAAACGGTTCGGTTCAAACCCTTTTTTCAGCCCTGGCAACAAGATGTCGCCGCTGTAGAATGCCTTCGGCTAGATGTACTTCTAGATTGTTGACTCTTGCCCCACAGCTGTTGCCTTTTCTGTTGCTCAAGAAAGTTTTCTTAGCTGTTGCTGCTGCTGCAGTTGTTGTTGTTGTTGCCCCCAACAAGAAGTTGTCCTGCGCCGCCAACAGCTTCAAGTGCAGCTTGTGTTTGAGTTGCTGTTTGTGTTTCCAACTATTTGTGTTGAGAAGCACTTGCGGCCCACAAACAACTCTGGGCATGATACGATCCGGCTGCCAGTTATTTAATAAGCAATTAACTAGGTCTTATTAAATGCGCGTACGCTTGCCTGATTTCCATAATCCCAGAGCTGAACCCGCATTCCGGTCACACGTGCTGCCAAATGGAGGCTCTTAAGGCGATAATCGATTTCGATACTCTATGATGTACTTGCTCTGTGCAGATTCGCATAACTGCTGTGCTGTAATTGTTTATTTAACAACAAAAAATAAATGCTTAATTCGTTTAAGGCCTCAAGATGCGTGGCTGGGCAGCACCATGTCATATTTATTTATGCTCACATTTTCTTTTGTTCTCATTTAAGTTGTAGTTTTGTTGGTGCGCTTTAATCAAGCTCAAGTCATATGTTGCTTAATTTAATTTCTGAACTGAAAATCTCTAATGTTTTATCATATTAACTTAGGCTTGAAATTTTGCACATTGTTTGCAACTGTGCGTCAATTATGTTGACCTGGCTTTTAAACAATGTTATTATATTTCGTGCTGCTTTTAATAACTTTTCCTTTTCATTGCGCTTGTGGGCTAAACCATGAAAAGTTATGAGTGCCGACAAACAAAGTTTGATATATGTATATAAGTATTAAATGTACACGGTTGCGTTTCGGACTTACAGAAAATATCCTAGTGTACATGACTTCAGTTTGTACAATTAAAATGCAATGCATGCCAAATTAGAAGCTTTAATGAGCGCTAATGGAAAATATCCGCGCTTTACTTCAAGTTGCAAAGTCCACAGTTTTATGCTGCGTTTTAATAGATTTTCACTTAAACAAACCGAACACGGATACGAACAATGAAATCAGGAAAAGCTCATTTAAGCGTAACTGCACTTTTATTTGTCTACTTTCAGTGCTGCTCTGAGAGAGCGTGGAACGGAATAGATTGAAGTCAACAATCCGTTGGCAACGGCAATGAAGACAGCCGGAGGCAGCATGCCAGTATGTCAGGTCACCGCAGTCAGGCGTACCAATTGCGGTAATTGAGCTAATGACTAAATAAGGCGGATGGTCCAGCTGGAGACAAAGCCAGTCCTTAGCACAAGACACGGACACACATCACGCATACGCAGCGTGCCACATGCAATATTTATCTGCAGCAGCAGCAGCAGCAGAAGCTGCAGCAACCTTCGGCCCGTAGAAAAACTCGTAAATTTGGCATAAATCTCGCCACCGCACACAGAGAGAGCCGGAGCCGTAGCCGTAGCCGGAGCCGGGGCCGGCATGGATACCATTATGTCAACATTCCCCACGCTGACATCGGACGATGGCAGCCTCTGGATTACTAGCGCCCTCTCCGAGATGCTCACCAGCAGCAGCAGCAACAGCAGCGATGCAGCCCAAAACGCAACCCTCGTTGCAGCAGCAGCGGCCACAACAACAACAGTCGCAGCGGCGGCAGCGGCAGCAAATGCTTCAACAGCAGCCACAGCGAATGTTACCAAAGTTCATGACAAGCATTCGCATGCTGTGAATGACAGCGAGACAGATCTAAGGTGAGGTTGTACGCTGAGTTCTTCTCAGTTCCATTACAGAATTGATGCGCCTAAAGTTGGATTTATATATGTATATGAGCAAAAAGCGTAAGAATCGCTCGAGCGAGTCGTTAACTAGATACCCTATAGATAAACTTAATAGCTGCCTTGTTGGCAAATAGTATCTATTATATTTTCACTGATTTTTGCTGCGCACAAAAGTTTCTTCCACATTATTTACTCAGTTTTAATGAAGGGTTTCGGAAGCAAAAATGAAGGATACCATTAAATTTTATCAGAGAAATTCGTTTAAATATACTCTATTGAGCTATATACCTCTCGAGTTACAGACCGACAGAAAAAAGAGGAAATAAATTGTACAAAGTCGCAGAGATTTGCCCATTTTACAGGGTATACGTGCACAAACGTGCAGCTGTAACAACCGATAGGACTTCCAGCTAAAATGTTAAATTTTTGCTGTTCAATTTCGAAATATCAAGCTCCAACTATCTGAACTAATATTATACAAATACAAAAGAGACGACACCATCAATTTGTTTGTTTGTTTCGTTTGTAGCTCATATCCCGGCTATATACACTATCGCGACAAATACGATCTGGACTATATAGCAAAGGTGAATCCGTTTTGGCTGCAATTCGAACCACCTGGCACTAGCTCCTTCTACATTATGGCCGGACTCTACTGCCTCATCTCGGTGGTGGGCTGCTTTGGCAATGCGTTTGTCATCTTTATGTTTGGCAGTCGCAAATCGTTGCGTACACCGGCCAATATATTGGTCATGAATCTGGCCATATGCGATTTCCTGATGCTGATCAAGTGCCCGATTGCCATCTACAATAACATACAGGAGGGTCCGGCGCTGGGCGACATGGGTAAGTGCATCGAGGAAAATCACAAATAAGGTTCTTTACGAGCTGCTTCAACACACGCAGCCTGTCGGATCTACGGATTTGTGGGCGGACTCAGCGGCACCTGTGCCATTGGAACACTGACGGCCATCGCTCTGGATCGCTATAATGTGGTGGTGCATCCGCTGCAGCCGCTGCGCCGCTATTCGCGCCTGCGATCCTATCTGATCATCATACTGATCTGGTGCTACAGTTTTCTGTTCGCCGTGATGCCCGCCCTGGATGTGGGTCTGTCTGTCTATGTGCCGGAGGGTTATCTGACGACCTGCAGCTTTGACTATCTCAACAAGGAGACGCCGGCGCGCATCTTTATGGCACTCTTCTTTGTGGCCGCCTACTGCATACCTTTGATCTCGATTGTCTACTCCTACTTCTATATACTGAAGGTGGTCTTCATGGCGAATCGCATACAGTCGAACAAGGACAAGGCCAAAACCGAGCAGAAACTCACATTTATAGTTGCTGCCATTATTGGCCTGTGGTTCATTGCCTGGTCCCCATACGCAATTGTCGCCATGATGGGCGTCTTTGGCCAGGAGCAGCACATCACGCCGCTGGGCTCCATGATACCTGCGCTCTTCTGCAAAACGGCTGCCTGTGTGGATCCCTATCTGTATGCCGCCACGCATCCCAGATTTCGTGTTGAGGTTCGTATGCTCATGTATGGGCGTGGCGCGCTGCGGCGCGTGTCCACCACACGCTCCACCTATATGACACGTTCCTTCACGCACCGGATGCGCCACACATCCGGCGATGGCGAGAATCGCGCTGAGCCCTACACTTTGAACAACAACCTGATGATGGTGCCCGAGGAAACGGAGGAGAACGACGAGATAATCGTTGTGGCCGAAATCAATAATTCCACCTCCATAGTTATGGAACAGAGTAAGTTCTAGAGCAGCTTACCCCATATCAATCAAGTTGTCTGGATCGCAGCAGTTGGCGGCCGAAAGAGGTAAAGAATATTTTTCTACTACTTTTATTGAGAATACTATGTAGCGAGAGAGAGGGGTTAGAGGGAGGGAGCAAGTTCAAAACGTGATCAAATGTAGAATACAAGAATTTTAAGTAGCAGAGCTTAAAAAATCGAATTATTATTATGAGGAATGTTTGCAATCAAATTATATAATACAACACATTCATTTTTATTTAAATTTTTTACGTTAAAAGAGCTTGCTTTAACTAATTAAAGTTAAAGCAAGCCTTCCCCTTTCAAAGCGACTCGGGAGTCATCCTTCTCAAAATGCATGAAATATTTTTCAAAATAAATAAAATAAGCTCATATTAAAGATGTCACAGCTATTGTGTTTCGCCAGACATTGCGCTAGATTTCGATTCAAAAGAAATACGAAATGAGAAACCTGCCCGTTGTATTATTTACCATTGATGGCAGCCGCGTTTCTCTGCTGAGCAAAGCAATTATAACCAACTAATAGATAGATATACATATATATATATATATAGCGACATATTCCCATTCCATGCAAACATAATACAACAATAAACAAAATTCGTATGGGGCGCACGGGCATGGCAACGAAGTGATAGAAAACATGTTAAATGAGCTTAACGAAAATGTTTCCGGGTAAAATGCTTAAGTGAGTATTTAGTACATGCTAAAGCTATGCATGAGTGAACCTTTAAGTAGGTGCTCGTTAGGTCAAGTTAATAAGTATCTACTAATTAGTTATGTATAGGTACAAATTAAAATGTAGCTTGAGGATACTTGCGAGTCTGATACGTACTATCAGGGAAAGTCAATCTAATCCTACCACACAATGTAGGCACTTGAGAAAAACACACGTACATAATACCTGTGTACATATGTATGCGTACATATGTACACATGTATTGGGTACATTTGTTCGTGGCATGTATCGAAATTAATTTGTGTCAAAGTGTCACATTTCATCGACAAACCTAACTCAAATTATTCAATTAATGTCATAATTGGAAATGTCTCAAAGACGCATAAGCATATTAATATTTGTAAGAAAATCAATAATTTATTTATGTATTTATTTAAATGCAAATAATAATGCCGCATATGATCAGATTGTGCAGTAGTTGAAATCGTAATGCAAAATAAATGTTTAAATATATAGATATGCAAATATTTGTGTGCATATATTTAAGTACAAATAAAAACATTTGACAATGTAATTGATATTGTTATACACTTCATATTTACAATTTTGACTAAGTACAGCAAATTTATAGATGTCTAAACTAACTGTTTGTTTTTGCAAAAAGACCTTGAACAGGTCTAAAAGGAGTACTTGTACCTAAAGAAATAAAACCATTTTAATGAAAGCCATTTAAGCTATGAAAATGAATATAAATATTTGTAAGCGGCAATATTATACGAATTTATACCCTTTAAGTGTATTCTGCTTAAATTTACATATATATATATATATATATATATAAATATTTATAGTTGTGTATATATAGATGTCAACTAGTACATAAGTACATAATATAGCTATAGCTTTGATGTAGTCACAACAACAACAGAACAATAGTAAAATATGCTAAAAGAGACCTGAAAAAATTGTAATTACACGAGCAAAGTTATGCCAAAGGTTAGTCGATGTCTAAATACCCTACCAAAGCTTTTTCTATTATTCCATAAGTTGCCAAGATTTGAAACAAAAAACCAAAAAGCTCTCACATCGTTTTGAGGCACTTAATTTTCTGTCAAATAGAAGGCAGTTGTTTTTTTTTTTAATTAAAATTTTCATCAATAATCAAAAAGCCAATATGCCAACTGCTAGATTATTCCGAAAAGGGATACAAAAAAGCCATTGTAAAAAACGGCACGTGTATTTCCATGTTTTTCCTAAAGAGAACAATGAAACGACACAGCTACATCGAATATTTGCTGCAACTGTCCGCAAATGCAAAAAATAAAGAAAAGAAAAGCCAAACAAACAAATGCATTCTAAAACAAAAAGAAACATTTAATTAGCATATTTAAAAATGCACTCTGGCGGGCTTTGTGCATATGCTTAAGTTTTTGTTTAACTTGACGAAACCTAATTTGTATTTATACAATATGCTAACCATATGCTTGTGCTTGTATCTTTTTTTCAATCTTAAAGCGTTTATAAACGAATAAATGTATTTAATAAATGTGTCAATTTCTTACATTTTCACAACATAAGAAAAATACCTACACACTTATTTAATTAAACGCTAGAATTATAAATATATCCGCGAGGCCAAAATTAATTGTCGCTTCAGCTCGTGTTTCCATTTCAATCGAGACTCGTCAAATTACCTCACCTTATCCCAAAAGCAAACATTTTTCTGTTCTTTATTTTTTAGCTATTTTATGTGCAGCTTTTTTGGTTCAAATTTAGGCTTATAATACAAAAAAAAAAAGGGTTCGGCATGTGACTTTATTTATTGTTCCTTAAAAATTACCTAGCAATATTTATTTATTTATTACACTCATTGATTATTATTATTATTATTATTATTGTTATTATTATTATTATTATTATTATTATTATTATTATTATTATTATTATCATTATTATTATAATTATAATTATAATTATTATTATTATTATTATTATTATTATTATTATTATTATTACTATTATTATTATTATTATTATTATTATTATTATTATTACTATTATTATTATTATTATTATTATTATTAATATTAATATTATTGTTAATGGTCGACAAAACGAGTCTCAAGCTAAGAATTTAATAACATAAAAATAGGAAATTTAAAAGCCAAAAGCCGAATACCTGCCAATTGACCAACAGCGCGCACCAATAATGGCAATGGCAGTCGCAACAGGTGCACAGATAAGCCACAAAAATGAATAAAAACTTTAGTTTTAATGTGGCTTTACAAAAATAACAACAACGGAAAAAGAAGCAAATATTTGTGTGTATAAGTTGTGTATGTGGCCAAAGCCGGCGCTTGCCGCTTTGCCTGGCCGGCAGCAACAGTGCGTATACTTAATTTGTGACTAAAGACGCCGCATGCAATTCCCTTTCGCTAAAATTTCCCAGTATTTTGCCGCTCTCGCGCGCAAAGCGAAGCGTGGGTGTCAACAGCTGAGAGCCGTGCCCAGTATTTTGTTGCTGCAATACATTGGCCAGACAACGACAACAGAACGCCGGCGCCGGCGCTGGCGCTGGCGTTGCCGATGTTGGGTCTCGTCGCTGCCGAAGCATCGCGTCCCACTCAAGAGCAGAATTCACACGCAGCCAGCATAACAAAAATTTCAGTCGGCTTTTTTCACGACGCGCCCGCGGTTTGTTTGTTTCAACAGACTTTTACAGCAAATTGCAAGTGCATTGAATAGAAAAAGTTACTGGATTTTTGCTAATTGCCAGCAAATAAGTTGTGAAAAACCAAAAGCCATGTCACATATGTTACGGCCCGTGCCGACGGCCAAAAGCGTATAACGTGTAAGGCTTAAATCGGTATATACATGTCTGTGTGTGTATTGTTTCAGCATCCCATTCAAAGATTAAGCTGGTAGGCAACTGCCGCATGGGCCGCCTGTGTGTGTGTGAGTGTGTGTATGGGTGTGTGGGTGTGGGTACCCGCAAGCACTTTGGCCACTTAATTTTCTTTCGATTTTTCACTGTTTGTATGTACCCGCATTTTTCTATTTTTGCTATTTTGCTGTACTTTGTATATTTACTAAACATTTAACCGGCTCTGCCCCTGTCGTCGTCGTCGTCGCTTTTTCCGGCTGCGTTTGCGGCCGCGTCCTCTCGTCTGGTTCATTGTACTTGTGCGCAACTAACGAGGATGCAGCGACGAGCAGCTGAAAGCAATTTTCAGTCAACAACACAGACTTGACAGGGCCAATTCTATTTGAACGCTTGTTGTAGTTGCAAATTTTGGGGTGTGCAGGTGTGTGTGTGTGTGAGTGAGTGCCATATCGTGCCTGAAGTCAAAATAAATATTGACCAAACAAATGTCAGGCATAGGCAATGCTTAAATATTATTGCCAGAGGTTTATCTCAACGTAAATGTCAGTCAAACACATGCACAAATACATGTCCTTAGACGGGTATGTGTGCGTGTGTGTGTGTCTGTGTGTGCGTAAGGGGTTGCTTTACACCCCTATATGAGCGCCTGCTAACGTGCCCAGAGCTCATTATCTAATGCAAGCGTAATATTGCTCAGCAGAGACACGCGGCGTATGCGTAATATGATTGCATATCAAAGTTCACTTTAACGCCGCCCTTAAATGTTATGCATATGTATATCGAGGCACTTTTATGGCTTCCGAAAGCTACTGTAAACAGCAACAGCAACAACAACAACAAAAATAACAACAATAACGATAGCAACAAGCCGCCGGCGCCGAGACAAAGCGTCTGCCACACTTCAGGCACACGACAGCAACAACAACAAGAACAACAACAGCTGGCAACGACAATTGAAGGAGACACAAATGAGCATGCAAAGAATACAACAACTCAATGGCTAAGACTGACACGGCCCAGACAGGCAACAGCAACGGCTGAGCCTAAAGCCCAGTGGGTGCAGGATTCTTGCCGAGTGTTAGCCTCATATTACACATACGACGCGTTGCCGCTGCCAGCGTGTGTGCCGCAATGCAAGTCAAGTGAAGGTGCTAGGACTGTTGACGGTTTTACTGTCACTGCTATAATTGTTGTTATAGTTGTTGTTGTTGTTGTTGTTGTTGTTGCTGCTGCTGCTGCTAGTCGAGGTGTTGTTTGCTTGAAGCCTTTAGACGGTTGGCGACATTTGATGTTGTGTGTGCACTTTGTAAGTAGCACAAAGTTTAATTTGATGACTCGGCAAACAAACTTGGCGCAAATAACCACTCAAGCCTGATATCCTGCGAGCCTTTTCACGCAAATAGCTGCAAGTCATTGTGCTATGACGTGCTCATAGTGCGTGTGTGCAAGTAAATATAATGTGATGTGGAATAGAGTATTAGAAATCCCGATTGTGCTGTACTTTTGATTAAGGGTAAATACTAACAATCTTGATTTAATTAATTGATTTTCTTCTCTCTTACCTTCAGCAGTATTATTAGGTTATGTTAATCCAGCTA